TTGGCAACACATACTACCATTAACACTTGTCAATTTCATATACGCCTTATCATGTTTATTTGTGGATTTTCTCAAGAGAATATTTTGAATATGATTTTCTTTATTATTAGCTGACTGCAGCACCAACTAACACATCTGGATGCTGTTTTACGTAATATCTTTAGAACTATCTAACACTTATTCATCAAGTAGTGTTGGCGTAGATTTGATTTCGATATTCCCATATTTTTATCCGCTTTAAACAGAATCTGAACATATCTCACAATAATCGATTTGGTTGGAAAATACAAACAAATCCGGTCGATTTCTTTCACATCACATTCGTATGAAAGGCATGTTATTTTGGCGCCGGGAAACGGTTGCTTGCAGATTATGACATCTCAGCACAACGGAAGAATAAAGGGCACAGTCTCGGACTCAGAGACAGCCTAAAAAGACGATTCAAAGAATCAAACACAAATGATAAAATACAATTTCGAATAGCCTGGATGAAAGACTAGGTTAGGAAATAAAAGGTAGGATAGCCTGGATTAAAGGCTAAGTCGACGCCTTTAGATCATCAGGCTCTATATGGTGCATGCAAACTTACTGAAGCGCGTAAAAGTCGGGTAACATGAAGGATTGGTGGTCTATGGGCGTCACCCCATGGCAAAGAGGGGCCATTTTGTTTTTATGGAACACGCTTAAAACCTGTCAGACCCAGACGTAGATATTGATGTAAGTACGCTTAGAGTTTATGTGTCAGACCCACTTGTAGCAATTTATGTATGTATGCTCAAACATGTCAGATGCATCTATAGTGATATATGTATGTACGTTCAAACCTGGCTAAAACCCGCATAGTTATTGATGTATGTAGGCTACGGTGAATAGAGTTAAAAATACATTGATATTAGAATGCTGTCAGGGAACGTGTTGCTCTTCAATAGTGCATAACAATATCCGTTCATCGACGGTTTCCTACAGAGAAATACTCAATTGGTGCAATCATGTATTCAGGGATAAGCTAAGACAAGGAAATTAACATTTTGGGAGAAATTTTGTAAGGATTTTTCTAGTAATTATCCTTTTTATAAATGTGAGTTGTTAAATGTGGTATGACGTGAAAAAAATATCTAAAGCGTTTTATGGCACAACGAACCAGCAGTACAACTTAAAGTTCTACCTGAAAATATGTTGATAATTTCCACTGCGCAGTTATTACCAGATAACTTCACAATGATAGTATTGATATATCAACCTTCGCTATCTACGGTAGATCTTAAAGTATTCATGTACTGCGTTAACAATATACATATTCACAAACTATCTCGTTTCGATGTACCTTAAATTCTGAAATACATTGTAAAATACATTCTCAACCTTGAGGAGAAAGCGACCCTCATAGTTCCCTCATAACAAGTAACCTTGAACATGTTGCCTGGCTCATAGAACTGCTAGAAATGAAGGGTCTCTGCGCTCCGCCTCTGATAACCATCCCAAAACCCAGAGGTCAAAGGTCATGCCGCATATTCGACTATACAGTCACCAGGAACAAAACAATATTGGGTGCATCCTGACTTACATTGTAGCGAGGCATTTGAACTCCATACAATGTCGAAATGTATTTGAGCACACATTCATATCTGTGCTTTTAGCTTATGTCCACCTGCACAATATATATGTGGGTGTCGGCTTGGGGTTAGGTGTCGTTTGCCCATTTTAATTTAAGTTGAGATTAAAACCCAAGTAGTGTTGACACTTTGTGTGTTAAAGCTTTAATTTAAGCCCCGAGATCCCTCTTTCATTACGCTGCGCATCAAAACAAGATTGTTATCCATGGCTCGTGGTAGCTAGGCATTGGTCAGACTAGAGTGAAGTCGAATATAATGCCCCATCAAAGGAAAAGGGTATGTTAACGTTCTGAAATTGGTACAATGTATTATATCCAACTATGTAAGCCTATTACCATGTGTATGCAACTGTAATATCATGGCGGCCATGTGTATTTACTAGACTCGGGACTACGATTGTAAAGAAGCCACATTCACTCGTAAATTGCAGTTTTAAGGTAGTACTCTGTCTCATCCTGAAGCAAACAAGCCTTCACCTCGGCAGAAATGGCCCTCCTCAGTCTGCCTCTACAAGCCCCAGCTTGGCTTAGATCTTGTGATGGATTCATAGCATACCGCCCGACGTTTTAATGCTTCATTTTCATCGTTAAATGGACGATAGTGGTCTCCCGGATTGCCAAAGTACACGTAAATCCTAAAATGGAACATCAGTCATCCTCTTCCGAACCGAACAATCACCGACGTCTCTTCGTGTACGTCAACAACCAGCCAGCCGTGTTCATATCTTGCGTTTTAGCCATCATCTTTTTTAAACAAAAATAAGCATACCGATTTCACATTTGACAGAATGTACGTATAGTAGAGTCCTGAGCAAACACTTTACATTATCGTTGAACCAGGACTGATCAGAGAGATAACCCGCCCCCCCCCCCCACTCAGAGGTCGGAATGACCGCATGCGTGTTGCCAAAATGTCCGGTAAAGGGGTACTTTTCGTGCGACAAAGTCCGGCCCGAGATTTGTGAAAAAAGGGGTGTATTTGACTTTTCACCCGGAGATTTCTTTAAAAAGGGGTGTTTTTCTTTTTCTCTCTTATCTCTTTGGACTCCTGAGAAATTATTCCGAATTTAGGGGGGTACATTGAGCATTTTTCCTGATTTAGGGGGGTCTCCAAGGCAGGAAAAGCCCGCGAAAAGCCCGTGAAAAGCCCGCGAAAGGGGGGTTCGGAAATGTTGGCAGTCCTCAGATAGGGGGTGCTTTCAAAAAGAGGGTACGAGCATATGCGTACCCTAAGTGTGGGGGGGGGGGGGCCGGGAGAGATAAACACTATAAATAAGGGTAGCAAAGTCAACGACCCTACTTTACAGGTGCATATCTGTGCACCTGCACACCTTCTCCTGACAAAACGGACAACGTTCTGCATCATAATCATTATTCATTGTGTAAACACGACCCTGGGCCGCTCTCATTAAACATTAACTGATGTCGTCATTGGCGCTTCCTCATTTGATACCTGCGACCCAGTGTTATCATCCCTTGACATTGGCCTCTACTTCACCTCATCTCACTTTCACTTGTCAGTGTGTATCACTCCCACTCACGTGTGAACTCAGTCACTGTGTATCACTCCCACTTACGTGTGAACTCAGTCAGTATCCTCTATACCCATTACCTATGGGCGCATACATACCCATGCCATAAACCACGCACTCTATTGACATATCGCCGTATGTCAAAAGGCTGCCTCATTCTCAATGGATAAAGCAAAGTGCGTCGAACTTCAGACAATAAGAAAGTGTTTTAAATATTTAAAACATTGAAGGTCTGGATACCGTTTAGATGTAACAGTAATACTCAAGCTGATATATCCGACTGTCTAGACGTATCACATATCATCCAGCCCTGCCGTAGCCCTGCCCGATTCATTTCGTCATCTGCATTATCACCTATGCTCAGCTCCTTCCTATCGCATTCCCAAATCGCCAAAACAAGCTGGCTTTAAAGCTTTTCAATCCGTTGTCTCACGACTATGGAACAAACTCCCTGCAAATGTTAAGAAATTGTACTGCCCTTGACTCTTTTTAAAAGAGCATCTAAAACATACCTCTACAATTCTCCTTAATTTGTCCCAAAATTAACGGACAGCGCATTGCATGTTGTGGAAAAAGCGTTAATATATACATCAAATTGTTAATATTGTTATCATTATTATACCACCTATTACGAAGTAAGTCCCTGTTTATCCTGGACCGAATCATTGCGTTGTAATCACTTTTAAAAAGTCATCATTGTACACAATCTGAAGCATGGATGGCGTACAGATTTAGCTTCCAATTTCTATCTAAACTTAAGGAAACGAGTTTGGTTTACAATTCGTTAAACACTTATTTAATAGCTCTAACATATACAACGGCTATTCCGCTAATATTTTCTCTTTCGTAAGCTAACCTTTTAAAATATCGTTAACATATTTATGGACATCTTATGTAAGCGATGTTGGCAGGATTTATTATCTCTATTTAATTTACCCGTTAGTTTTATATTCAGCATAAAGAAACAAGAAAGATGGAGACAAAGACAGGGAGAGAGTGAGAAGATGTTTTGGGGTAGGATAGAAATTATGTGACACCCTTTTCTAAAATCAAATTAACGAACTTTGAATACCGGTGACGACATCGAAAGTAATCCAATTGTTCAAGAACGGGTCCAAATTTAATGAAGTTTTTGTTTATATATATAAATATATATATATATAGAGAGAGAGAGAGAGAGAGAGTTTCTTCCAATCCTTTTCTTGAAACAAACATGCATGCCGTCACTTTGGGTGTAAACTGATCGGTGGTCTTCATATCATTATAAATCCTGCAAATGTCCATTAATACTAAATCACATTAGTTATTCTACATTGCCTAACCACAAGCAAGGGACCAGCGAGCCGTAATATAATGCATTCAAAAGTAAAAATACAATATTATTCTCTCTTTTTCTTACAAGCCATTGTTTCTTATTTCCTCCTTTCCTTTCTGCTGTGCTCTCTAGTGGAGAAAAAAAAACCATGTTTAAAATCACGTCGCGTGCGTCATATTTTTAGAAAATACATTTATGGGAAAGAAAATAAAAACATAATACGATGACAATTATTTTCTACAGGCTTATTCTGGCGTAAATCTTGCCATGTTTAGACATGTTTGTCTAAATATAAGCATTAGAGAGAAGGTAGAGTTCTGGGCAAGGTGTGATTTGGCCTTTTTCGTTCTTTTCATTTAAATATGATAAAGTATAATAGAAAGAAAAAAACAAACAATGAAAAGGTGGCCCTTCAAACGCCCTCATTTTCGAAATAATCAGTACTAAGAGCTAGAGGTTGAGGTTTCATACATTTCTCTGTACGATGCATGTGACTTTAAGAAAGATTTGGCTATTTTTTTAAATCAGTTTGATGACAACCTAATGTGCTGCACGAATTGCAATATTTTGAAATCATTTTCACATTGTTTCTTTCACAAGGCAATCGCATGACCAGAACTCAAATTCAAAGCTACACGTTACCATATGTAAAGCCGACGATGCAATTGCTCCTTTCAATATGAGAAGCGTATGGCGTTTCTCGGTGCGAGATTAGGCGCGAGAAAGGGATGTCTAATGGAGGAGATTTGAGGCAAATAGGCGGGAAATCCCTCGACGAGCCTGCGCCAGTACCTGCTGAGCCCCGTCTGACATCTAAGGTATTAACGGTGATTTATGAGCCAAAAAACAAAGGATCTAATTTCACCTTTCAATTACCGCCCATAGTCGCGCAGAGTCAAAAGAGACTTGAACAGAGGGCTGCACAACTTAAGATAAATAACTTTTATTGAATATGAAGTTTCTTGCTCTCTGAAATGTCCCCTCTTGAACCGGCATCTAGGATTGTTTGAAAATGCTCTTTAGTAAAGTCTAAACGATAGTAAAGAAAAGGCTGTTTTGTAAAGATGTTTACAAGGTGAACGATCTAATCTGTTTAATGTTCAATTTGATTATCTCTCTTGATTAAAACTATGACCCAAATGGGAATCGTTGCACTGAAAAACAAAGACTGTCGAGTTAGTCCTAATCACGCGTGGTTTCGTACCAATTTATGCTATAATGAAAGAGGCCTGTGGCATTAACGTTAAAACTGGTCCTCTGCTAACTTTTCATGTTTTCAAAACACCCGAAAATTGAATTATATCTAACTATCCCCATTCCGAACTATGACATTAAAATTTACATAAAAGATGTCATGTTTAATGTTCATCAGACTAACTTCAGTTTCGTTAAGTAAAAGAGAAATTGCTTACTTTTTAGATGCTCGCAAATGGAAACGAGCTTCATATTCCTCAATGCAATTTAATCGGCAACTTTCACATTCACTATTTATAAGGGAGGGATATTTCCGCGAAAGGGAAATGCAAAGTACTGAATGGCATGGATTCTTTAGACCGGGGTTAGGGAAGCGACTATTAATGAACTTTTCATTCACCGCTAGTGATCTACCCATCGAAACGATTATACCTCAGTCACACCACCAAACACGACTCAACACCGACTCCAAGCCGCCTAATTGGTGGCCATTGGAGGGGATGTAATTGCTTGTTCGGTCTGTGATCGGTCTGGTGTCGGCTCTCATAGGTGTGACTGAGGCATTAACCCTGCCTTTCCATTATCACGTAGATGGCGGCCTTTTTCTCATCATCGTCACAGAAGCACAACCCAATTTTCCAGGCATGAATAATTCAAGGTTGTTACCACTGCCCGAATGTCATTGCTTAACTGCCTTTTAGTACCCCCGATGACACAGCACCCCCACCCCTGTCTCTCTCTCTCTCTCTCCCACACACACACAATACACACGCGCTTATATCTCACCCTCGCTCGTTCGGTAACGCACACACACATCATGATAAGGCGCGGTGGTAATTGCATGTGAAGTGTGTGTGCGCGTGGGAAACCGATGTAGTACTCTCTCAACAATGCCCGCCTCTACCCATCAGGCATTGGTCCCTCGGCTCTGCTGCGTACTGCAGTCTTTGGGGAATGACTAATTTCACAAATGGAAGCGGGGGCTTCGGAGGGGAAATAGTGCATGCAATACAAATGGTGAGATGCAATGCCAGCGTGAGATAGTAGCGACGAAATGACATCGTGATGACGTTGTTATTGCTAACAAGAGTGAGAAAGAGAGAGAAAGAGGGAGAGAGAGATTCCTTGTTCAGAATGCGAAGAGGCGAAAAAGCCAATCCAGCTCCCCGATCTTTTTCCTACAACTCATTGATCATTTACTCTTATAAATAGGAATAAATCCTATGAAATTCTGCCAATTCTCTTCAATGTTCTACGTATCCATCTACGCATTCATTTCGCTCTTTGTTATGTTAGTTCTGTGCACAATTACTCAAACGCTCTAAATAATTTTATGAATATCCCATGTACATGATAATCTTCCTTAATCAAAGAATATCTGCTACATTTTACTCAGTCGCTTATATTGATTTGTTTTCTTAGGCAATACTAGATATCAACCATAAAGACACCATTTGACTATCGGAATTGCCATTTAAATCCTTTCTTTGATGTTATATCTATTTTAAAGAGACACCGACATCTTATTATTCATTTTTAACCATCAATAAAGTTATTACTGTCATTTACTACTTTTCATACTAGGGTTTAGAGTTATGATTTTCAGATAAGGCCATACAACTTCCGAAGGCACTGCGTTTTTCAATAGAAGATATGACATTTCCTTTAATTGCCAATATAAACAACAATTTGAAAGTGACAATGTAAGGTATAGCATGTTAGCCAGTTTCAGCTATTATACATATTAACCCTGTTTAGCAGAATCGGGAACTGAAACCGGAAATAGAACGGCTGTTTCATATAAAAGGCAGTTTATAGGAGCAATTGAAGATTAAATGGAATAAATTCCAAGTCCATCATTTCGCTATGTAGAGTGGTCTATCATCTCCTTATAAACTATTCTGTAAAGCTTGAACAAAACAGAGCCCCAAGGATGTCGGGTCATAGACTATCTACTGATGATCATCGACAAGCTGTCATCTTGTTTCTGAATTGAGGTCACTCGATGATGATAAAATCTCGTGAAGCCGAGCATATTAATAGCTTCTTAGAAAATATGGCAGGACATGTCGTCCGCATACGAGGATCCAACCCCTTAGATGCGAGTGAAGAGCTTGAAGAAAACGTTAGCTGCAGAATTTGATTACCAGCAGTAGACACGCTGACTGGTTTGCATGACTGGCAATGATGATGGCAGTGTTTCGCTCCACGTTGCATCGCTCAGCTCAACCACCCTATCGACCCCGATCTTCAATATTGTATGAAGGCCATTTGCATGTCGATGGCGAAACCGACAATGGTTGGAAAACGATTACCAATTCACCATTGCCATCCTCCCACGTTATATAAACATTGACGAGTTTTATGGTGAGGAGATGAAAGAGAATGCTAAGAAAGCTAAACAATCCACCTTCGTAATGAATGGATTCATAACAGATCATAATAGTGTTTCAGAGAAAATCCTTCAGATTCAAGTATCGCATTAATATTTAGGTGTGCCCAGATAGAGTCATTGGAATTTGATGGTGAATGTGTTTCGTATAAGACTTCTTTTGTATAACGGTTTGGTTTCATTTCATCATGCATATTTGATATCGAGAAAATCTGACTTTTGTACCGCAACAATATTCTCCAAAACTATATGAAAAGGCTCATATAAAAAACCAATGTTGCAAAACGTTCAATGCAAAAAAGGAATGGACAAATTATTGCTTTTGAAGAGGTTTTCGTGAAAAGTCTCCATGAACTTGATTCCTTCCGGAAAATGCAAATTAACATTTCGTTTCATCTACATGGGTAATTCTGCCCCTCCCCCTCCTCCACTCCAAAATCTCGAACCACATCTTCATAAACATGGCGTCCTGGATTCAGTGTCATCTGTTTGCCGTTCAAATGCCTCATCTCTGCAAATCAGATGAGCTCCCGAAGGAATGGGAGACATTATTTTTTGAGTGAAAGTGATTCAAGGAATATAAATACACAAGAGGACGTCACTCGGCGAATGACATCACTGTGTATGTACTACCATCTGACATGAAGCTGGCCCTACCTACTTATCAAATGGAATAATGTAGCTGAGGACAAATCAATATACACACTGGACGAGTCTACTCTAAGCAGAGGGGTGCCAGGATAGCATACATCATAAGGTAAGATTGCCTACTCAATTTATTTTCCTTTCTTGTGAAAATTGCAATTTAACGATGTATCATTAATTTGTCATCTGATTGTTCCTTTCATCAGGATGTTCATTACCTCCTTTATTACCCAGTCGTAGAGTTCATTTAACACCTTTAGATGACATCGCACTTTCATCCTGCTCCTTGTTGACATTTTAACCTATATGTCACGGCTACGAGTCTTCGCACTGAATATGCTGAATGACTAAACTGTTTAAAGATAAACTTGAGTTCTGGTAAAAAAAAAAATGAATTCGTACAGAATCAAACGAAACTTACACTGAATGTTCAAGATTACAAATAAATGTCATTTGTCGAACAATTTTGGTAGAAAATGTATACTGGCATAGAAAGATAAGGAAATCAAGGTAAGTAGGCCCGTCACCATTTGTGTAGTCCCATAAACATCTTTCTGTGTACAGTGCTTGTTACTTTACCAATACTTGACCAAATTTATTATGATTTTGATGACTCCAGAACCTTGCAGTACACACCGATACTTACATGCTACATGATCAACTTTTTCTGAACCATTCCACATCTTTTCTTTCACAATGCAATCGCATGACCAGAACTCAACTTTATCTTTATATACAATACGCCATTTTCATAATGTAACGAGATTTATGCATACAATTTTGCGGATCATTTTATTCACCTGTTACGAATAAATGTATCTCAATAGTCAGAATTCAAATTGCAACCATTCGTTGTTGCTAGGTAGGACAAACATTATGGATTTTCCTACATAACAGCATGTGATATATGGAGTTTGCGTTCTGACTATCGAAATACAATTATTTCAGTGTAACAGATGACTGAAATAATTAGTTTTGAGGCACTTTCACTTGGCTGTTTCTCTTTTTTTCCCTGCTTCTATTAGAACCAACTCAATATCAGATTGGACTTACCCTTTAAGTTGGGTTAAACGCGCCATTGTATGAAACAGGTTTATGGTCCTTGTAATAGTTTAGTACAATTTATGGAATATCCTCTCCTTCTACACAGTACTGGGGCAGATATACCATTATACAAAAGGGGCGGGGTAGGAGTCCAATACCCCCAATAATGCTGGGGGAAGGGACGTTTATTAGACATTTATTTGATGTTGGCTTACATCCGAAGTCTCTGGCAAAGACAAGAAATGATAACAAAAAAAGAAGACAAAGGAGGTGCAAATGGGGGGGGGGGGGGCTGTCTCTTGCCCTTGTGACCACCCCCTTTGATATTTAGTTTCGATTAATGTATAGATGTGAATCACCCTACCCTTCTATTCAGCGACATGGGTCAAGATGAACGTGTAAAGGGCCACTGCATCACAGGTGCTTGACCATTGATAAGACCACGTGACTATTGATTTTACCCGGTCAAGCTGACCATTGAAGTTATTGCACTGACCTCTCGTAATCTCTATCGCTGCCACTCAAGCTATTGAAATATTGCATAATGGAAATATCAAGAGCATTTAGCCCCCAAGCTTCCCGGGGCTGATAATGGGGTTGGCGTGAGGATATGAAAAATGCGGCAAGGCCTTTCTGCACCTTTTGATTATTATTCCATTGACTGCTCGTATTTATTATTCATTCCCATAGATATAACACAGAACCACCCAATATCAGTCGGAAATGGGTTATTTAAAGAAAAAAAAATTATAGACTTTTTAAAATTCTACGTCTGGAAAAATATTGGGAAACGATTGAAAAGGTCCATCTTATTCCGAATATGACAATATGATAATTATAATAATCCAAAAATCCAACTTTCGTCATGATTTTTTTAATTCAAATATTTTGCCTTTGTAAACTACGTTATTTGAATCAATGTTGACGTTACTCACATGTTGTGATCATAAATCTGTCTGGTTCACATTATGTTTTGTAATAATCTTCACAAATCCCAAAGAGAAGACACTGTCATGTCTATGGAATTATAAACATGTCTGATTAAGTTAAGATCTAAAGCACTAATAGCCAAACAAAATCTGTTTTGTCATAGTTATGTCATAGATACACAAATAGAATGCATTTATGAGTCATTAGACTTACTAGGCAATTTGTATACATGCAACAGTAGGTGTATAAGCATCTTATATCAGCTTTATTGGATTCACAGAGAACACTTTAACAACTGTTTCCATCAATATTATCAATGAGTGGAACTGCAAAATCTTGGGAATAATATGTCGTTGTAGTAGAATATTGCTTAACAAGTTCAGAAGATCATACCCTTCCAATGATGATAGCTGAATAATTGATTTGTGGTATTAAATTGTTTCATTTTTCCGAACGATATCTTAAAATTATATGTCAGTGTAACGAGTTATCCCTTGTCCTTGTTTCTAAATATGACACTTTTATTAATAAATATTGCAGATTTGATTTCAATTTTAGGGGGAAGATAGTCGTGGCGCTCAACCTTTCAAGTGGCCGTTACACTTCTTTGTGGAGAATATTGCGAGGGACTTTTTAATATCTAGTAAAAAGCGGTTAAACAAATATATTATGGAATAAATGGGAGTTGATCGGGTTTCTAGTCGTTCGGATGATCTTTAAGACCCACTCATCAACATCTCACCCAGGGTTAATGATTTGATTGTTATCACAGCAGAGAAGCTTGTACGAAGCGCCAATTTTATACACGACCCTTTGAACTGATAGGTATTATGTTCTATTGTTAAGGCATCACCACAGCAGTAATTGACAATGGCGTAGCTTCGAAGGGGGTGGGGTGTGGTAGAGACACGCCCCAAATTTGAAGAAGGGGCGGGGGACTGACAAAACGCAGGAAGATGGCATGGACAGGGAAAGGGTAAAAGTAGTAAGGAATAGGGTCGTTGGCTGTGTTTATTAATTTGTATATCGTTCATTATTAAAGAAAGACCGTTAACCCCCCCCCCCCCCTGTCTAGTGTCCATCAATGTCTACGCCACTGCCTGTGGCCATGTTGTGAACACCTGGTAGTAATTTCCCCCTTAACATGCCTTAGTCGAATGCCATGAGGTACATTCTAATACATTATCATCTTGGACGGCAGGAGTAGGTTAACGTTAGTCTTACTAAAAAGTACATGTAACTACAAATAGGATAACAAGGTCATTAGAGACCTCTGCATATATTAAACTACTTGACCTGTATTCACCTTATCTTTAATGTTTATTGAATTTACAACTGCATGTAGGAGAATGATATGTGGCGTAGAAGCACAAGTACCATTATGACATGTCATTGGAAAATGTAAGGGTTCGATGAGATTGAATAACACAATTTAACTGTAATTATGCTGGTTGTTTGTCAGTGATTGCTTTGATTTTTTTTTTACGTAACCATCTACGTAGTGCTGGACAATGATTGTACCGTATTATGTTTAATATGATGTACATGTTTTTATTTCTTAATTATTTCTTTAGCCAATAGTACAGTCTAGGGAATTGAATTACTGTTCAAAATCTCATTGAAGGTGTGGTACGAAATCGTGTTTGTGTGAGGAAAAGTGTTACATCTTAGGTGTCGCATTGTAGGGGTCTGCTCGCTATTTATAAGGACCGCTATTTATAAAAGACCGCCAATCATTTAGTCACGCGTTATGGATGGTGAAGAAGAAGAGGAAGGCAGAAGAGAAGATGGAGAGATGACCTAACATCATACATGGGAACGGCCGCGTGAACTAGGATAGTCCAATGTCAAATGTTATGAGGAGAGCTTTGTCCAACGTCTGGATGAGCTATAGCCTGATAGATAGATATGGATAGTGGTCCTTATGAATGGCGGTCCTTATGAATAGCGAGCTTGACCCGTTCTGTAAAGGCTTACCTATAGTGTAGTTTGTCCAACTAGTTCCGTTTGATGATGAGTGCTACCTTTAGTTTCTTTTAGGATAAAACAAAGAAAAGAAAACATACGTACAATGTAAAGGGCTGCAAACTACATGTGAATCTGTTTAAATCCCCTGAATATAAATGTACTTGTCTAGCTTTCTCTCTTGTATATTTCATGAATATTTCTCACCTGTTTCTTGTTTTACTCCAAATTCCTCTTATCATTATTGTAAGTTGTTATTTTGCTGTAAGTTTTCCTCACTTCTGTACTATCGATGTTCATGTTTTCTATGTCTATATAGGGACCCCTCTGTAAAACAGCATTATTATACTAACAACGCCGCGTAGGGCCATCACTCCGTCTTCCTTTTATATTTATTTTTTATTTTTTATATAAGTGTGTCTTTATGATTGTAAATATATATATTTGTTGATGTTTTTTAAATGACGGAAAATAAATACAATACAATCACAAATTAAAGTCCAATTGGAATACAAAGTGGGAGCATTGGTAACAATAATACCAATATTGGTCACGCCATTGTTTCTTTCCTGTTGAATTTGTGTGCGATTTCAAACAGATCAATTTTAGTGAATGTGTTTTTCTTTGAATGTACCCGGTATTGATTGTAACACCTGTGCACTAGCTTTATGAACTATAGACTTTGGACCCGGCAGCACATTACGTGGAGATCACGTGTTCTAGTGGATACGTCTAGTCCAAAGCCACCTATACACAGAGTTTGGTCAACTTGGTTACACTGGGTCTCAACATGGCGTATATTCTTTGGTTTTGTGCTTGTCCAACAAAGCAGTAGTCGCCACATTGTGTCCCACTCGAACCGGGTTGGCCAAACTCTGTGAATAGATGGCTCTGGATACGTCACCGGACTGTGAATCATATACTGGTTTGTAGTTCGAGTACCACTGTGGCAGTAATGTCTCTTGGAAAGACATTAATCTATTTTTACCGCACTCCATCCAGATGAGGCAAATGCTTACCTGGCTGGAATTAATTCCTTGAAAGCTATAGCGCCATGTAAATGACTGTCATGCAAAAGCTGGGGTAAAACATTGTATAGCGCCAGGAGTGTCGAGTCTGGCCAATGAGTTTTAAGAGATAGAGTCATATCTAGCTCATTCCCTCTTTCCAACT